TATATATATATATATATATATATATATATATATATATATATATATAAATACTTCGGCCCCGTCGGCAGTTCTTCCCCGTTCTGCAAGCTTGTGCAAGCGCTGAAGCAGTGCAAGCAGACTCTGCCATTTGTAATTCGGCTTTTCTCTCGAGCCGCTTAGCTTTCGAACGTAATCATACGGAAAGAGCTCAAGTGTCAGTACGGAGCCCCTGAAGTGCTCTCCCTTCAAGAGCATCTTCACACCCCCCAGGAGCATTTGATCTGCACCTTCACCCCATTGAAAGCCATCAATCTCAGCGGTGATGAGCACTCGTATTTGGTGGCAGAAGTCGTAGCGGCGAGAGAGCAGAGCAGAGGGAATAGCTTGTTGTCAGACCCTCTATTTTTCCTTTTCCTGTACGCACTGCAACGGGGTCTATGGTTCGCTGTTCGAAGCCGCGACGGCAGCCCAATGATTCCGCCTTGGCAGCTGCGTTGCTAGTAAATAAGAGAATATTTCCAACCGAGTTCACGTGAATTTCAGAAAGTTTACCATAATAAAATGTTCCGGGGAAAAAGAAACGCAACGACTCACGCAGGCACCTACAGGAGCTGAGCACAATGTAACGCTAGCTCTCTGGCCTTTGACCTGCCAGAGACGAGCCGCAATGAAGGCAAAGACTTAAAGTAAGAGTTTCCCAAAAGCAGCTGACCTCCTTCCGGGGTACCTAGGCATCCTGGGCGTTGAGCCCAGGGCCAGGGTGGCGCGGGGAGGAGGCAACCCGAAATGGGGTTGCAGCGCACCCAGCTGCGGCTGGCAGAGCAAGCCAGCCCCACGCGTGCACTAAAGGAAGCTTCAGGGAAGCTTCCTTTGCTGNGCGCTTACGCGCAGCATGCCAAAGCCGTCGATAGGCTCCTGAGCTAACTCTGCGCTAACTCATGTTACACACAAAATTATGTGTGGCAATACATCTTGTTGCAACTCGGTAACATCACATGCAAGCATAACCAGGCTCCCTTTTGCTGCACTTTCTAACACTGCAGATAGTTGCTAGACATTTGTTCGGCCCTCAGTAGCCAGCCAGTCCGTGCACAAATAGAAATACATGTACAAGCTACGTACAGATCATACACCAGTATGCAGCAACATATTTGTTCCTATATTTCAAAGGGGTTTTAACCCGAGATATATTCCTGCATCTTTGAAAAGAACAGTTAAAGGTTTGTACTAATACACTGCTGTTTACGCTGAACATGAAATATGGTTCGGCTGGTCGATTTGTTTGTTCTCTACTGTAGTGGCCGCAGTGTAGAGGCGGCTACCCTGAAGCATGTATTCGGAAACTAGCACAAAAAACTGAGTCAATAATATTAAATTAAGAGGAAATCTATAAGATACGGGTTTAATATTTACGTTAAACTCGGAAAGCCTCACATGCTCTGGCTGGGGCCCCGCACCCCACAGCCCGAGCTTCCTTCGTTCGCTGGGCCGAGCAGTCAGCCAGCGACTGCTGAGTTGAATTTTGGGTGTAAATTTGTCGCCGGTTTCGAGATTTCGCTTGGGCTTTGACTATTTTGACCTTTGGAGGGCCTCCACGCCCGCAGAACTCCCGCTGCCCCTGGACCCGTCGACGGTTGGGCTTTGTCTTTTTTCCTCTCGATAATTCAGCGTCACAATGAGGGGTATGCATTAATTCGTGGCATTCCGCTGTTTTAATTGTTTTAAGTTCATATATTTTACGTCTCTGACGCGGAAGGCCTGCTGACCGGCTCAGGCGTGGTCGTGGCCCGAAGCTCCAACTGTTAAACAGCAACAGCAACAGCAACAGCAGCAGATGATGATGAATTTGAATTCGATGCAGGGGGTTCAGCTGTATATGCCAGGGACTGGTGGATCGGTTTGCTTCCATCTGTCAGGAGGGGGTAACACGTGGCGCGCCATCTGTAGACCACGCACGGCGTTTGCATTCCTTGTGTTTTGTTTGTGTCGCATTTTGTGTTCAGGAGGGGGAGGATTTAGGGGAGGTGGTAGAGGCGGTCGAGGCGGCCGTGGTGGTGGCGGTGGTGGGGGTCGCGGCAGAGGAGGCGGTGAGTGAACAGCAGCAGCAGACCGGCAGTTTTGTATGGATTTCATAACTACTGGAAGAGACGAATATGCTTCTTCTTCTTCTGCTGCTGCTGCTGCTGCTTTGCGGCTGTCCTTTTGGCTCTCATTTTGTTTCAACTGCTGCTGTTTCTGCTGCTGTTAGGCGCTGGAGGTTTCAAGAGTGCCCGAGGCGGAGGTCGGGGTGGGGGCCGTGGAGGCGGCCGTGGCGGTGGTCGCGGTGGGGGTGGTGGCGGAGCCAAAGTGGTGGTAGTTCCGCATCGTTTTGAAGGTGTTTTTATGTCTAAAGGGAAAGCAGATTCACTGGTGACCCGCAACATGGTGCCTGGTGAGTCGGTGTATGGGGAGAAGAGGATGGAGGTAACACAGGAAAGCGGTGAAAAGATTGAATATCGTATTTGGAATCCGTTTCGATCCAAATTGGGGGCTACACTGGTCGGTGGAGTGGCGAATATGCCAATAAAACCAGGAACAAAAGTTTTGTATTTGGGGGCCGCCAACGGCACCACCGTTTCACACGTTTCAGATATCGTTGGACCTGAAGGCGCGGTGTACGCGGTGGAGTTTTCTCATCGATCAGGACGAGATTTAACGAATATGGCAAAGAAAAGGCCTAATATTGTTCCTATTGTAGAAGATGCACGACAACCACTCAAGTATCGCATGCTTGTAGATATGGTAGACGTTATATTCGCTGATGTAGCTCAGCCAGATCAATCACGTATTGTTGCATTGAATGCACACTACTTTCTGAAACCCGGCGGTTGGTTCATCATATCAATCAAAGCCAACTGCGTTGACTCCACGGCAAAACCTGAAGCAGTCTTTGCTGCTGAAGTTGATAAACTAAGAAAAGAAAAATGCAAACCCAAAGAACAACTCACCCTAGAACCCTACCACAGAGATCACGCCGTCGTCATCGGGCAGTATCGCGTTTCAAAGAAGAAATAAACGCAAGGAAAAAGTAAACGCATTGAAGATGTATGTATAAGTACACGAAAAAAAAATAAACNGAAACCAGGGGGATAGACAAACCTTTATGAATTTGATGTTCAAGTCAAAAACTTTTTCTTTCTTTAAATAAATTAAAGGGGAAATAGAGAAATGAAAGAGCTGATAAAGGCTCATTCATTTCAACTGCGTAAACTGGCAGTTCTCACTGCGGCGAACTCTGATGATTTTTCGACTTAAATTTATTATTTCTTTTTATTTTTGTTTGCATTATTTCGTCGTTACACTCTAATTCATTATTTCTTTTTATTTTTGTTTTTATTATTTCTTTATTACACTCTAATTCGTAGGGTTTGAGTGCAACGTGAAACATGAAATAGGCAGTTACCTTGTGGTGGTTGCAGCACACTGCGTTTCAGATACATTCAAACAAAAGAATAGGAATGAAGGAATTAAGGAATCATAGTGGTTTAGCAGCAAAAAAAACAGAAACAACAAAAAAACAGAAACACAGCACGCAGAAGAACCACTGGCAGTTAGCTGTTAACACACAAAAGAGAAAAAAATGCTGAAACTGAATTTGAACAGAAGTTGAAGTGTCACGACTGCTCTGGCGTTGTTTATAAAACAGGAAATCGTATATTTTTTTCTGCTTGAGAGAGCAGTTATGGGTGAAAAAAGCTTTGCTTTTCTTCTCTTTGTTTCTGAATTGCATTTAAATATTTGTACGTCACACATACACTGAGAAATATGCAGCTTTCTTCGGAGCTGCAGCCGCAGGAATCACCGCTTTCCCGTCGTTCGCTTGCTTTCAGTGGCCAGTTTCTTTTCTTGATTTGCCTAATGTGAGTCATTTTGAGTTGATTTCATGATGGATATATGCGCATACATCTGCGAGCAAACGATGGTTTTAATCTCTTCCCTCAGTGGAGTCACAATAAGGGAGAGGAAGCTCTTGTCAGTGCAGTGCCATTCTATCTATTCTTGGATTTACTTTTGCTGCCTTCTGCTCGGGGCTCTGGTAGCCGTTCAAGGAATACAGGTAATCTTCATGAATACCTATATACATCTCTATAAATATACAAATTCTCTATTTATATGTATCTATGTCGGCGTCTTCACTGCAGCTCTTACGAGAGGAAGGAGAGAAGAATACGCTCGATTTGGTGCTGCGCGGCTCTCTTGTGAGTAATTGCTTTTCATGAAAAAAGCGAAAAAAAAACTGTTTTCAATTGACTTTCATACAGTATGCGCTTCTCCCCTCGTTCCTCCTGCACACCTTCTTCGGACTAGGTATGAACTGCAGTTAAAATGTTGTAATATATATATATATATATATATATATATATATATATATATATATATATATATATATATTATGTGTATATATATGACTAAGTGAAGCAAAGTGGAGAGAGATCTGAATTTGAATTTTTTTATTGTTGTTGCAGTTTTACACATTCACAGCGGGCGGTGTAGCTTAGCTAATCCTTTGCTGTGGTGGACGGGTTTCATTGTTTGTTCTTTTGCGTTGTTGTTGTTTTCTTCTCAAGCATTTATTTATCTCTCTGCACTTCACTTGCGCAAGACGCTGCTTCGTCGGGGCCTCACGGGTCGCTACGTGATGACGGTAATTTGAATATTTCAGTTTCATGTTTTCTGCTTTCCTTTGTGAATTTTTTATGCTTTTCTTCTTTTCTTCTTGCATCCACTGACTTTTATTTTTCGTTTGTTTTCTCTGTATTTACTCTCCTTATTCACTCATATTTCATCACAGGATGACAGTGAAACCATGAATTGCAACTTCTACCCCAAGACTGGCCGATACAGCTACGGCGCTTCTCTCTCAACCATGGGGGCCCTCTACGTCAACCCCTAGGAGTAACCAGAGGCAGAAATAAACTTATATTTCAATCTGCTCAATATATATATATATATATATATATATATATATAAGTATGCTTGTAGAGTTAATCTTGGATGTACATATACCTTTGCTTAGATCCGTTTTAATAAAATAAAGAAAAGTCTTATAATACCGCTAAGAATGCGCAGAATATGCCGCAACGCGTGGCGCTGAACAATATTCAAACTCATCACTTATTTATTTATTTATTTATTTATTTATTTATTTATTCCTGGGATCATCCGGCATCTAAGGGCCCCTCTTGAAGGTAACTGAGAGAGCAAGCGCAGTACAGCTGAAAGAAACGCGGATAGCGAGTTGAAATGCATTATAATTATACGAAACAAATCATTAAAATGAATATTTTTTAGCTTTTTTGAATTGGAGTTAGCATATATGCATGCAATATTGTTTCGTTGAGCAGTGTTCAAGTTTGTATCTGTTCACTGCTTAGTCCACATTTAGTGTGGTTTTTTTTCAGTTTCTATGAAAATTATTTTAAATATGGAGAAAGAAACTGATATGCAGACGAAGAAAACATTCTATACATTCTGAAAGCGAAGACTGAAACACAGCAACTTCTTTGTTACTGCTGAATCACACAGCAAGACAAACAAACCGCCACAGCCGCCACATGATATGAATATACAACGAGAAGAGAATTCGAAGCTGTATTCAATAAAAAGAATGCGAAAGAAGATCAACAAACACCCGCTGTATGTACACCGCATTTGCACCGAAACCTTCTAGAGTTGCAGTATACCACGAAAAAATTTTTTGTGGCTGTTGAGGAAATTTGAATCTGTTTTTTTTTTTTTTTTTTTTTTTNAATCTTTTTTTTTTTTTTTTTTTTTTTCAAGAAAAAGAGTAATAAGTGAAGCAAAGCGATGGACGACAGTCAAAGAAAAACAATTAAAAGTTTGTTAAACAACAAAATGCGTTTTGAAAAGAAGAAAAGTTTTCATAAAATACAAATTCCCTCGGGTACGGCTAAACTGTCTTTGGGCCACCAAAGAAACAGAAAGCGGCCTGAAGAGGAGCCGTGAGGTGTCTGTACAGTGCGAGTGTTTATCAGATCATCGAGCTGAGAGGAATATAAAGAACAGTCAAAAAGAATACTAACAACAAATTGAATACGTTCTTTGCCTTGGAATCCTGCTGCGGGGGCAGCTGCAACTAGCAGCCAATTGTAAAGAGGTTACTCCTGCTGCTGCTTCTGCTGCTGATGTCTTCCTCTTCATTCATTGCTGTGGTTCCCGCTGGGTCGTCTGGCGGTAGCTGATGCACAGGCCCCGCAAGCGGCTGCGCGAAAGCAGTGAGAGGAGCACTATTCTCTCCAACAACAGCAGCAGCAGCAGCAGCAGCACCAGCAGCAGCAGTGGCAGCGGTTCCTGCTGCTGCTGCAGGGGGGCTCAACAGCGTGGGTACTGTTTGTGAAGGGGCAAATGAAGCAGCAGTTTCCGGCAGCTGCTTGGATGACTGCGATGGATGACAGCCGAAATTATTTTGTAGTTGTATGTTGTTCTGTGTTGATATTTCGTGGTTTGTTTCTTGTTGTTTGTTGTTGTTTTCTCTGTAGTTACAGGGAGAAATAGAAGAAGAAATAATATTGTTGTTATCTTTGAGAGAACCAGAAACCGATAAAAGACGAGCGCACTGCAAACGCACTTCCAATGAAGACGGCCGCTTTCCCTGTTGTTTTACTACACCCCAAAACCAGCGACACAGGGGCTCTGACAGCTGTCCATACACCTGAACAACCCACGCAAAACACAAATAAATAAATAAATAAATACGTAAATAAATCTATATGTGCATGTAGGTTCAACTGTACTGGAAAGCAAAACAAAAAGAAACGAGAACACATTCATGTATAATACCCACACCCTGAACGCGCCGCATAAACACCTCGTATGAGCTGTATGTACACCCCAAACAAACAAAACAAAGCTGCACATACACCAGAAATAAATTAAAAATTAGTATCGAAACGTCATAATTCAACACTTGCACGGTAACTATGCAGCGTATACACCCCAAACAGCAGCAGAAGAACACACCCCCAATGAGCTGCACATACACCCCAAATAAGTTTATTATAACACATTCCCAATAAGCTGCACATACACCCGAAATATGAAAATTATAAAACATCCATAATAAGCTGTACATACACCCCAAATAAACATACTCTGCAAGAGAAGGATTTAAACACTCGTTTCGTCCCTTCATACCACTGCGTACACCAGGCCTGAAAAAGAAGAAAAACAAACAAAAAAACAAAAAATAAATACACAAACAAATAGACAGAATCCAACAACAACAACAGAAGCAGCAGCAATCTGCAGCAACATGAGCAACAGCAACAGCAGCAGCAGCAGCAGCAACAGCAGCAG